CCAGAGCTGTGAGACGGTGCCTTTGGGTGGTTTTCAGCCCGTGGTTTGGAGCATTGGTTACGGCAGCCCTAGGACCTAACACACTTCTCAGCAAACAGTGGTGAAATGTGTGTTTCATGTGCAAAGCACAGAGTCCCCTGCCCTAGCATTCACACTTGGGTCATCTAGTCTCTGGACTTTTCCTTCTCTCTTTCCAGGTCTGTCTCCCTTGCAGGTAGATCATCCCATTTAGACCGCAGACTGATTTTGTGCTACTCAAAAAAAACAAACAAAAAACATTTGCTTGTTACAGGAGAAAATGCTTACATACGCCATCCTGAGAAGAATTAGGATTTTTGCCACACAGTGTTTGTCCATCCCTCAGCAGCAGGGGGTGGACTTACATTTCTTTGAGTGACTCCTGGTGCCAGGAAGAAGCCTGAAAGGTCATTGCTCCCTCCCCTCTTCCTCTTTGAACTGGCAAGAAACAGAACCAAAGCAAAGCTGTTTAAAAAAGAAGGAAATGTATGTGCTTGCAAAACAGGAGCCCTAGGTCCGAGAAAGCAGGCTCTGGGTGTGCTGATTTGGCAGCTCGGCAAGGTCACTGAGAACCCAGGCTCTTTCTGTCTTCTGTCCCTAGCACGCGCCTCGTCCGAGGAGGTGTCCGCATGGCCATCGAGAAGGCTGCCTGCAGCCTCTGGGCAGCCTGCTTCCTGCTCACGTCCTCCGGAGTCTCTCTTTAAGATCAGGAAAACCTCCATCTTTGTCCCGTCCCTGAACCAGCCACTGCCAAAGGGGATGGGTTAGAGCACTGGCCCAGACTGCCCATCTGAGGATGAAGGGGCACTGGAGAGTCACCACAGTGCCCCTCTGCTCTCTCCAAATTAGCAACTTATACTCATCTTTGCTGGACAGAAACATGGTCCCCACAGATGTCCATGTCCTCATCCCCAGGACCTGTGAGGATGCTACCTCACATAGCAAAGGAACTTTGCAGATGTGCTTCAGTTAAGGATCATGAGATGCGGAGATTATCCTGGGGGTCCCGTACAATCACAAGGTTCTCCTAAGGAGGAAGGAGGATTGGAGTCAGAGAGAGATGAGGACAGAAGCAGAGGTCAGAGAAGTGAAAAGATGCCACGCTGCTGGCTTTGAAGAGGGAGGAAGGGGCCCAAGGCCAAGGGATGCAGGCGGCCCCTAGAGGCTGGAAGAGGGCAGGACACACATTCTCCCCTGGAGCCTGCACGGAGCGGAGCCTTTCCACCGCTTGATTTTAGCCCGGTGACACTGATTTTGGACTCCTGACTTCTAGAACGGCAAGATAATAAATGTGTGCTTCTTTAAGCCGCTGAGTTGGTGGTAATTTATTACAGCAGCAACAGGAAATGCATACACCATTGTTTCTCTGGGCTAACCTTGTATCAGTATAGACCTTTCCTAATAAGAATCTCATATTTATTTTGAATCTTCTGTAATGTGAGAAGATACACAAACATTTATGGATTAAACAAAAGATAAACCCAGTGTCTGGTCCCTCCTCCAGGTGTAGCCAGCTTGGTGATTTGCTCTTAAAATGGTGAACGTTGGTCTCTTCATTCGGCGCTAGCTGCGGGTGCAGGCCATACGGAAACGAGTAAAATCGTGTCCTCACGCACAAGGTGCTGAGTGTCTCTCAACCAGCCATTTGATTTCCATAAATATTCTCGCCGTCAAGTCGGAGCGCTTCCAGATGTCTGCTCGCTCTTTGTAGCTAAAGTCCGTTTCCTCTGAAGCTTTTCAAACCTGCTGATTTATTTTTTAAGTTTTAGCCAGGGTCAGGAAGAATGCAAGACGTTGTTAAGCACATCCACAGAGAGAGAGAGAGCTATTTTTAGGGTGCTCCCTGTTGCCCAGCTCAGCAGCAATGCTAAGAGACGGGTCCCGGAGTCCATGGAGGATGTCATCTGCCTGTCTCCTGCCCTCGTGCCCAGCTGGACAGAGACACTGCTGTTTGGAAGTTTTCTTTGTGCTTCTTTGTTTCCTTCTCTCTCCTGGTTTCCTGGGCACAGAGCTGCAGTGGGGGAGCCCACCCAGCATGCTCAGGAACCGCTTGCTCTCAGACCATAGTTCAGCTGGCTCTGGGGGGCCATGGGCTTTCTTGGGGATGATAAATAACTGGCGGCTATTTATGGAAAATGTCTGGGAAGGTAACAAATAATGGAGCAGAGAAAGGGAAGGAGGGAACTGAGCACTGAGGGGATCTTTTCCAACCGCGGAATTCTATCTGAGGAAGCTGAAGCTTGGTGAGCAGCGAAGCAACTGTCCATCACTTCAGTGTCTGCAGTAGCCTAGCAAGGGTCGGAGCTCCAGACCCCTGGTTCCAGTTGGTCAGTTCTGGGCTCAAGAACCCAAAATCGAGAGCTGGGCTGTAATGCCCTAACACCCATAACAGTGTGCAGATCCTTAAGTTTAGGGATGTGTTCTAGGCTCTCGGCTCTATCCCTGTCTGTCCCCCTTTGTCTGTAACAAGTGCCAGATGCTGAGAGGTTCAGCTTGGGCCAGAATCCCACTTACTAGCAGTGTGACCTTGAACAAATTACATGGGGCACTTTTCCTGTCTATAAAATGGGAATGATGATAATACCCGAATAACTGGGAGAGTTTCAGGGGTTAGAGCAATTCATGCGTGCAAAGGGCCCGTCCCAGGGCCCCACACGAACTAAGCTTCGTACAGATGACTCACCTTCCCGTGACCTGAAACACCGCCCGCAGTGTTTAGATGATGCATGCTCCTCCATCATGCGGCGGCGATGCATGTTTTATTTAACCCGCTCCCTGTAATGGGATTTTGTTTCCAGTTTTTACTGGTGTAAATAACATTTTGATGACTTGCCGCACAGGTAGGATTTGCTCTCATCCCTAATTATCTCCTCAGTTTCAATTTCTCAGAGCAGAATTGCTGGTTCAAGGGGAGAGTGTGTTTTTAAGGCCTTTCTTCATAGATGCTGCCAAATTTCCCCCCAGAAAAGTACTAGTTTACCAGCAGTGAATGAGTGTGCCAATTTCCTTGCATGGCCAGGCTATTAACTTTTAATCAAATGAAGGCCCAGGAAAAATAGGAGATATTTCCCTGGGGATAAAGTGTTCCTGGTCCTTGCTTATAAGCAATAAAAGCCTAAGAGAACTTGAAGGCAAGCTGCTCGTGTGAAAACAGCGCCCTCTGCTGGTTCCCCGGTGTGAGCTGCAGTAGATGGTGACACTGAGGTGGCTACTTTTTGCCTGAGAGCGGCTGCAGGTGCGAGGTGCTAGGGGGCAGCATTTTTCAGACTTCTAGCCATTTAGACAGTCAGCCTCAGGTGACATTTAGTTCCTCAGGTTGATTTACAGCTGTGCTTCTCAACTTCGGGGGTGTTTTTATTCCCCAAGGAGCACATTTTTGGGTATCACTTCTAGTAGATAGAGGCCAGGGATTCTGCTAAACATCCTTGGATGCACAGGACTCCCCCCAGCAAAGAACCACCTGGCCCACACGCCAGCAGTGTTAAGGCTGAGAAACCCTGTTTTAGAGAATTGTTTAGAAGGCCTCTCTTTTCAGATTAAGATAAAATATAGAAATATTAAAATATACCACTAGTATTGCTCATATATTTTTCTTTGGTTTCTGGAAACCTGTTAGTTTGGGAGACTACCATGGAAAATAGCTGGAAGGTCACAGCACATGGGCATGTCTAGAGGCAGAGGGGAACACACAACCACAATAATGTCACAAGTACTAATAAGGGAGGAAATTTTTTCCTGGTAATTTGACTTGGAGAAACCTGCCATAAATTCCTGTGGCGTTCCCTTGAAGGCCCCGTCTGTTAAAAATAGTGCTTTATCTGACATTTCCCCCCTGATTTCATGGGCCCCAGTATTTCATAACATTTATAATTAATTGTGCTTCCCAGGGCCAGTGCCGAATTACCATCTATAGCTGCCTTTTGCTCCGCTCTCCCTCGCACCCAGGTAGACCCCGATTCGAGCATTGTTTCTCCGAGGGGCCGGGAAGGGGACTTCAGGAGTAATCTTAGAAAAGGGTGTGCCTGAGGGAAAAGCATGACAAGAATTTCGGGGAAATCAAACTGTGTTGCAATTTACTTCGACATTTGCTGAGTGTGAGGCTCTCTTGCACTGGTGTTACCCAACCCATGGAAAAATATTATCTCGTTTTGTCTCAGCCTCGCTGTTCTCTGAAATACTCGCGTGTGTCCTGAAACAATGAGCTGAAGTGGCCCTTATTCGTTGTTCTAAAGAGTGCTAACGGTTATTTTGCCAGAAGAGGAAAAAATAACTACAGCTTTTTCCTAACTATCAGATACCATTTTGGTCATCTTCCTTGGGAAGTATTTCTCAAACCAGAGGTCACTGATGCATTAGTAGGTTGTTAAAATCAATTTCTGGGTCAAAATAAACATTTTTAAAAAATCAGAATAGAAAATATTAGCCCTGGCCAGTTTGGCTCAGCAGTTAGAATGTCGGCCTATGGACCGAAGGGTCATGGGTTTGATTCCCCGTCAAGGGCACGTACCTGGGTTGCAGGTTTGATCCCTGGCCCTGGTCAGGGTTGTGTGGAAGGCAACCAATCGATGTGTCTCTCTCACATTGATGTTTTTGTTTCTCTCTCTATCTCTCCCCCCCCCCCCTCCCTCCCACTCTGTCTAAAAATCAGTGGGAAAATATCTTCTGGTAAGGATTAACAAAGAAAAAAAAATCAATGGAAAAATACTCTTGAGTAAGGATTAACAAAAAAAAGAAAGAAAGAAAATATGAGAGGATATTGTATATAGTAAAGGTAATTTTTGGTAATTCTATAAAAATATGTCACCCGGGTATATTTACATGTGTCTGTGTGTGCGACCATGAGCACACACATGTTAATGGCGAGACGTCTGACAGGCAGTGGCTTAGGTTTCACAAGATGAAATCTGGCTTGTTTTCTGGTTCTTTCTTTGTCCCTGAATTATCTCCATGAGTCCTCAGCTTCGCCTCTGCTGCTTTTCCAGGTGGCACCAGGGAGATCGGCTCGGCGCTGACCAGGATGTGCATGAGGCACCGGAGCATCGAGGCCAAGCTGCGGCAGTTCTCCAGGTGAGGAGCTCGGTCGCCCTGTCTCGATCGCCGTGCCCAGTGCGGGTTGAGGCAGTGGTGAAGGTGGCACAGCTCGCCCTGGAGCACATGAATGTCTCCAGCCCGTCTCATCTCAGCTCGTCTCTGCTCACTCATTGAACACATATTTGTTGGGCATCTGCTATGTGCCAGGCACTGCTCTGGGCTCTGGGGATACAGCGGATGGCCAGACGGTGTAGGTTCCTGCCCTTGTAGAGCCTGCACCACCCCCTTTAGGACTTGCTCTGTCAGTGTGAGGAGCCCCTGGGCCTGCCCCCTTGCAGGAGACCCTGTGGAGGGGGAGCTATGCCCTGGAGAGGCTGCCCTGCTGCCCTGTTACCTGTGTGCTCCCTCCTGCCCCACTGCTGAGCACAGTGGGAGCTCAGAGCCCTCCACACTGTCAGCCTCCTGTCTGAGTGGGCAGGGATGGCAGTGACTGGCACGGGGAGTCAGAGTCACCAGTGTTCAGATGAGAATGACATTCTTCGGAGCAGGTCAGCGTAACTCAGCAGTTTTGCCCAGTTCTGCTCCGCGGGTAGTGAGTGGTGTGAGTGGCTGCTGAAGCGACGAGCAGTCTGAGAACAGCTTCTGAGTAGTTCCAGCATTTGATGGGCATTTTCTAATTTTTCTGCAACAGCTCTGTAATGTAGGGATGGGACAGTTTTTCTTCTATCACACAGACAAAAATCTCGGTTCCATGACTCTGTGGGGAGCAGCCTCTACCAGGAGAGTTACTGTGGTCTGAGGGACGGTCCAAAATGAAGGGATGGACCTGGTGATCCCTGCACCCTCTGACCCAGGAGTTGCTGGTCTGGCCTCCCTTTCTCGAGGCTGCCCAGTTAGCCTACGCCCACGACTTCAGAGTTCACCCTCCAAGTTCCCGTGAGCTGTGGGGTGAGGCCAGGTGTCTTCCCCTTTTCAAAGCTCCCCAGGTGCTTCTGTTGCACAGCCGGAGGGAGATCCCACTTGTGCGCAACACTGCTTGTTAAATGAAGGCATTAACTGTGAACAGGGGAATGCGAAGGGAGGTCATTTCTATCAGCCGTACGCACAGCTTCCTAACAGTCTTGAAAAGCTTGTTAGAAAATTGGGGATTTGGATGAACTTGGGCTCAGTATGCCGCGGCCTGACTTGCTTCAGATAATTTTGATTCGGATACGTTTTGACAACCAAGCGTCAAGCCTGACAGCAGAAATATGTGTTTAATTTCTCCTTTTCTTTCCCTTTTGGTAAAAGTGCTTTAATCGATTGTCTGATAAACCCACTTCAAGAACAGATGGAAGAATGGAAGAAGGTGGCCAACCAGCTGGATAAAGACCACGCGAAAGGTACGGGGCACGCCATGCGACGTGTGACGGCGCTCCGGGAACCGCTGAGGGACGCTGCTGCCGCTGCCTGGCGCCTCCGCTGGGTGTCCTGGTGTCTCCAAGGGCCCACTCTGCCCCTGCTTGTCCTGTAGGAGGACAAGGACTGAGAGGGCGCCCTTGGCAGGACCCAGTGCTGGTGGTGGCAGGAAGCAGCCGCAGAGCCCGATCGCTTGGCAGCAAGTGATCAGCTGAATCAGAAGTGACAGTAATGCCAGGGTCAGCTGCCAGAGATTCACACTTAAGACATTGTAGCCCATTTGGGGAACGAAACCAGAAATGGCATCTCAGTACCACATGTGCCAGGCTCTGGGGACAGAGTGGTCCGGACAGACCCCACCCCGTCTCTTCCTGGAGCAGGGCCAGGGGTGCTGGCCGTGGGGCAGGGGCAGGCGACGTTGCTCCAGGGGTCGGGAGACCTGCAGGCAGTCCTGGGCAGGGGACGCACTGGGAAGGTCTGCGGGCGTCAGTCTGGAAGGAGGGTGGGCTAACAGGCGGTTTTTAAGAGCATGTAAGTGTGAGCTCTGCGGGCTGAAGGCAGGGCAGGGAAACATCGGGAATAACGGAGGGACCCGGTCGAGCTGACAATTGACTTCGAGGGCAGCAGAGGAGAGATGTGCCAGAGGTGACTGTCGTTTTAGATGTCACATCTGGGTGACGGGGAAACCCATACAGAAATGGGGACGTCTAGGGTGGGTGTGGACTGAGGGCAGGAGAGGTGGTTGCAGGTGCCGGGGGACCTGGCGCGTGTGGGCTGCCCTCCTTGGCGTGCAGAGTGCCCGGCCTTAGGGCTACTGTGAGAGAAAGGCCAATGGTCTTGGTTCTCATGCCTGGATTGTAACATCTGGCCAGTGTCTCGCCACGTGGGTTCTTTTTAAGGAGATATAGGCCTTAGGAAAGTAGATAACATTGAAAATAATTACATGATACTTGAGCTGAGAAATTGTGAATTTTTCATTTTTTTGTACGTGCCCTCAGTGGGAAGTGAACCTGGGACTCTCTGGTCCGCAGGCCAGTGCTCCAGCTGCTGAGCCAAACCGGCCAGGGTGTGAATTTTTCATTTTTAGTAAAATATTCCCGAATGCCATCTTTCCTTGAAGCTGGTACGAATGAATCCTTTCGGGGAAGGACCGCTGTGCGTGATTGTTCATCGTGTTAATAGTACCTCTGCTCTGAAATGTCATCCTGAGTTTTCATCGCATGGTACTCCGGTGCAGGTGTTTATTCCACGCCCTCGTTCATGCTCTCTGTGATGAGAGAACGGCTGCTCCAACAGCATTTGCTGTTGAGCAAAGTGGTAAAATGCTTCAATATTCTGCTCTCTCTTAGAATATAAAAAAGCGCGTCAGGAGATAAAAAAGAAGTCCTCGGATACACTGAAACTGCAGAAGAAAGCAAAAAAAGGTCAGTACGAATCCTGCGGCCGATGGTGTCGCTGGGGGAAAGGAGCGTGTGCTCCACTTGTCTTTGAAGCAGAGTGTGCGATTCACACGCCCTTGTCGCCGCCTGGAGCGCGGAGCCCAGGATGCACGTGAGGCCCCGGCCGTGGTGCCTGACTTGTGCCCTCCCCCACCTTTGTCTCCAAAACTCGACACTTGCCAGTGCCTAGTGTACGTTATGATGCAACCTATACATTTTTGGAAGTCTTGGGATCATGCACAAAAGACTTTATGCAAATGTTCTATTGTAATTATTGCAGAAATTATGTCATTTTCTCCTCCATCTTTCACAGCCTATAATCTCCAAAACCCTTTATTAAGTCTCGTGAGGGTGTTAGAAATGGCTGCCGTGGGAGCCAGGAGTCATTGCCGACGGGGAGATTTTCCTTGGTGTTCGGGAGGGGGGAGCGAGGAGAAGCAGACCGTCCAGGTGCCTCCTCCCGCCTCCCTGCTCGCTGTCATCCACACGCTGGTTCACGGTCGGGTCCCAGACCCAGCTCGGCTCCTCTGGCCGGGCCCCGCGTTTGAGGAGCCAGATCTGGCTGCACCCACTTCGCAAGTGTCCGTAACCCTTCACCCAGACCTAAAATGCAGGGACTCTCCTGAACGTGACATTCTTTCCAGACTATTCTTGACACCAAGTTTTTTGATTTGCTGCATCACAGCTGATCCAGTGCACTTTTTCCCATCAGGCTGCCCTGTGGGTAAAGTTTAGCATTTATTTGGGATAATGATCCTTTGAGGTAGAAATCCCCCAAACCAAATCTCCTCTTTCCTAACCAGTTGTTTTTTTTTTGGGGGGGGGGGGAATGGGATGGCGTGGAATGGAAAGAAAATACACCTGGAGAGGTGGAATGGTTTGGTGGGAGAGGTAAGGACAGGACAAAGCTTTGACATTTTTAAAATATGTCCTCCTAGCTCTTCTGAGACCACTTCAAGGTAAAGGCGGCAGGATTGCTACCCGTGGTCGGATTTTCTGTTAGTATCGGCCCAGGTGTTCCTCTGGGTGTGTTTTCCTGGTCCTGGTGCTTCTCAGAATGACCTTCTCTCCAACCAGGGCCCCTGGGAGCCAGTGGACAAGGTTGGGGCGGCAGCATTTCAGCAGATCTGGAGGGAAGGGTGCGAACACAGTCCATGGGCTCTGCGGGCCCTGCGGGCAGGCGGGGAGGGAGCTGGACGCCCCTCACCGAGCGCCTGCAGCTTTGGGAGAGCTGACGGCTTCAGAGGGAGGGTCCAGGGAAGAAGTTTGTGGCTTGGAAAAGGTTTGGGAGTTTGGTGAAAGGATGAGGGAAGACAGAGCAGCTATTTTCCCTTTGGTCTTCCAGACTTCTCCTTTCAGAGGCCTTTCGCTTGGCTGCAGCGATGGTCCTCTCATCTGAACTGCGTGGAGGCTGAAACAGTCCTCGTCTGTCACTCAGGGTCACTGCGCTGTCCAGGGGAGGCAGCCAGGCTGCCGCAGTGCCGTGCGAAGGGAGGTTCTCTGGGAAGGGGGACGAGCTCCCCATCCAGGCGCCCAGCAGGAAGTTCAGGACGCGGAAGGTGCTGGGCTGTGGAACATGACAAGAGGCTTCTGGTCCTAAGACTTGGGGGTAACTGGCGCTTCGTGGTGAGGATTCTCGGGGTGCTCGGGCCTGAGATCGAGAGCCGAGGCTGTGATCCGAAGCATCTGTCTCTACAGAACGGTCCCAGCACATATCTGGAGGTCCGGGCACCATGTCCTGTCCAGACCAGGTGGCCGCCATGGGGTACTAATGTCTGTAAGCTGAGTGAGAGCAGTAGCTTGGAATGTTCTGGATGATCTTCTAGTTACTCCAGAAAAGTTTTTTATGTCTTTCCTTCATGAAAATTTTTTTTTCTAAAATAGGTAAATGCATTTTTTTTTAAACTAAGTGTTCATAGTTGTGTGTTTCTGGGGTGAGTGGAGCCTTCCAGAAGGGACCATCACCATTCAGAGGGAAAATTGGTGATGGGGTGCTCTGTACAGCCTGCGAATGGACCAGAAATGATGCAGGTTATGGGTCGGAAGAAATCTCGTTATTTGAGGCTCCCAGTTCATTTTGGTCTAGTTAGCGGAAGTTTCCCGAAACCCCTCCATCTGTTACAAGTCCCTCAGGTGGCAGCTCCCTGTGCTTTTGGCTTATAAGGTGTTCATAGTTCCTCTGAGAGTTGCACCGTAGGATGGACAAGTGCTTAGATACATTTTTTTTTTATCCTGATGGAACTGCATCTGACTTACGCAGCCGAATGACCACTTCTCTCTTGGTATGTCCTCAGGAGGTTATCAAGCAGCTCTGCCTCTTTTGAAAACTGTGATCTTTGATACAAACGTTCTTCTGATTCTCCTTTTCAAAATGACCGAGCCCTTGGGCCGGTGAGCAAGGCTTGAGCACTGCCCTTGGCACGGCAGACACACACGGGTCTGATCTGCGTGTGTGCCTCGGTCGCCTTCGTTCTCACTCTGGACACCACCTTTGGTCACACTCTCCATTTGACTTTTTTTCCCTATCATACAGAGGGCGGTCATTTTCTAATGTGTAGATATTTAAATATTACCATCAAAGATACTTTTAATCATTTTGTTTGTTTTTGGTTAGACTTTATCACAAAATCATTTTAAAACCGCCTGGTATAATCTCCCGCTAGGGATGAATGCAGCTGTTTTTGTGGAAGGCAGGCTTGTGAGCACCTGCTGTGTGAACACTAGGCAGGGCGCCCTCGCCCTCTGAGACGTTCAGGCGGGTGCCCAGGGGCAGGGCACAGGGCAGAGCCAGCCTGTTGGCAGGTGGGGAGGGGACAAGACAGGCGGTGGGAAGTGGTGTGGAGCTGACCTATCACCCGTCTCCAGGTGGCATCTCTGGGCCCTCTCCCTGCTGCTCGGTGTCGGCTGGAGGCCTGCTGGACCCTGGGCTTGCCAGGACCCGTCGGGGGCTGTCAGAGGTCTGGGTGTGGGAGCATGTCCTGTCGCTTCTGCCTTTGCCACCTTGCTGTGCGAAGTCAGCAGTCTTATTTCTCACTTAGCTCCCGTGCTATTGTTAATTTAAATTGTAGCAGTGAATTATATAGTCAAGTCTCTGTTTTGATCAGTAACAACCAAAAGTTTATCAGGGACTTTCTTTGAGAGACCTGAAATGTTTTAACCCTTGAGCCTGACATTTCACTAGTTGAATCTATCATTTTTCACCAGGGGCTGCAAAGTTAACATTAGAAACCTGATAAACAGACTCACAGAGTTCCAGACTACATATTACTTACTTTTATACCAAAATTTTATGGGTTTGCTTTTTGTTTTCAATCCTCACCCGAGAAAACTTTTTCATGTATCTTCAGAGAGAGTAGAAGGGAGAGAGAGAAACATTGATGTGAAAGAGATACATTGACTGGTTGCCTCCCACATGACCCCCCCGACCAGGGCCAGGACTGAACCACAACCAAACTATGTGCCCTTGACCGGAATCGAACCTGAGACTCTTTGGTCCAAAGGCTGATGCTCTAACCACTGAGCAAACTGGCCAGGGCATATACCAAGCATAACCAGCTCAAGCTTTGGATCCTAGGTTTTTCCTCATTACTCTTCAAGCTATGATAAGTTAACGCTTGAAAGGGTTTCTTGGTAAAGCATCTTAATTGACTCCTTTTGGGAATATAGTCTTCATCCCTCTTTTTAAAAACCTTGCTGTACTGTCCAGGGCTGACGGTTACTAACTGGGAAGATTTGATAGACAAGAAGGAAAGAACATTGCGAGTCAGGGAGGGAGCGTGGGTGTGCGCTCGTGGGAGGGGTGGGTTGAGTCTCCCTAATGTAAAATTCCGTGGCTGCCGTGGAACACGTGAAAGAAAGGTAAGACTGTTGCTCGAATACCCGTTTGACTTTATGATTTTCCTTTTTGTGTCGACTGTGTGTCCTGCCCTTTCTCACCGTGTGTCCCCGGCAGTGGAAGCCCTGGGTAAGTGCCATCCCCGTCTCTGGTGGCTGGTCCCGGTGGTCCCTGCTGTGGGCGTTCCATGCTTGTCCGGACCTGTGCTAGTGGTCCACCGTCTCCTTCCAGCTCCGAACAATCCATGGTGCCTGCCTAATCTTCCGTAACTTGGAGAAAATCGTGTGTGGGTGTGTTTCGATCACTTTCTCAGATTGTGGCGCTTGAATGGGTTCGCATGACATTTCTAAGGGCTTCGCATCAGCATAATCCAGTTTTAGACACGTGGAAAGAAGAAATACGGAGTGATTTAAACCTCCCTTTCCCCAGGAAATGAATACATTCACACATACATATATACCCAAGAACATATATGTGTGTCTGTGTTTATATCAGAAACAAAACCTGTGTTGCTACACTCAGTAACACCCCCAAAATGATTCCCAAATCAGATTTGGTTGTATTAAACAGGCAAAGTATCTTTAACTTTGTCCCCCCAGAACCACAGAGTTCGGTTCAAAACCAAGAATTCATTAAAAAAACAAAAAAACACCAAAGTATTTCTTATTTCAGCAGAGTTTGTGAAATGGTTCACTTCAAAGGTATTGAATCCTCAAATTCAATAATCAAAACGATTCTTCTTGACTGTATGTTGAACCTCCTGCTGTGGGTGATTTTGCTGCTAAACCTTCAAGTTGCTTTGGGTATCTCGTGGCTGTCCCTTTGTCTCGGAAAAACCTGTGAGGTGTCCGCGCGGCTCACCTGCCCGCGTGTGTGCGTGTCTGAGCGTTTGCCCGGAGCACTCCGCACGGGTGTTTGGACTGGATTCTGTCACCGACGATGAGCCCAGGCCACGCGTATCCCTCGCCAGGTGGCGCCAGGATGGCTGCTGTCATGGGGACACAGCTCTGCCTCGGCTTCCCCTCATAGTGATGTTGGGTTAGTTCTTCCCCAGCTTGAAAAACAGTGCTCCTTCCCAGTCCTGGTGTGGTGCTTGTGAAACAGCTTGGCCAGTGTTTGGTGTCCCTTTCGAAGGAAGGTCAGAACGAAG